TGTGTTGGTGGTTTCGCTGTGACGTCGGTGATTGCGCGGTGGTTGAGTACGGCCCCACCTGTTGCAAGTGGAGAAGATTAGTATTGCGATCGTTGGTGTTGTGCTGCCGTGTACCGAATGAGCGGTGCTACTTTTTGTGGTCGATGCATTGGAGTTCTGAGGGGTGCATGTGTGTACGTCACTAGGCAAAGAAGCATGAGAAAATGCAATGCGAACCTGTTTCATGAAGCGCTCAAAGTAACATCGATAGAAGCTATCGTAAATTGTGACAAAAAGGTGGTTTCCAAACCACGCTCTCGCATACTGCGCCTTGGTAGATGAAATCGCCGCTATGGTATAGTGCCCTAAGAAGTGTAGAGAAGAAAATCCAGAAAGATCATGTTGCGCCTTGTCCTGAGGCTTCATGTCGCCGATGAAATCCTAGTTGATGCTCCTGCTAAACGCCCGTAAATCCCGTGGTGTCTATAACGCCGGGTATCCTGTTAAGATGTGCTCGTCGTGAAATCTAATATGTACATGGAAGGTGACATGCGATGTTGTGCTGAGGGTTTCTCACGTCATCGCTTTTTGAGGCGGGTATGTGATCTCGTCTCGGTCTTTGCCTTCTTTGAGGCAGTTGCCCTGTCTCCCGACCTTTTCTTGTAGGAAGTGTAGCCGTTCGGTATCGTCCTCGTCGAATGCGAAGGCTCCGTTCCAGAATCCGCAGTCGATGTTTGTGGTCTCGTTTCGGTATACGACCTGCGCTTGGGCTGCCAGGTCCACTGGCGGCAGGCTATGTTCCTCGCCAAGTTTCTCTCCAATTGAATCAATCTCGCTTTTACCAGGCATGTGATGGAATAGCTCAGAGTTCAGTGTCCAGCACCGTAGTCCCGGGCTCGGGTATTTGCTTCGACTTCGAGGGTTGGCTTTCTGCCACTCCGGTGTGGGAGATGGCGTGTTCTCTCCCTTGTTGCAGGCGTGAAGAAGGGCGACGTCGAATGCGCGGGCTCCTGACTTCTTCAGTTTCGGCGGAGCGAGATCGTTGAGGAGACGTTCGGCGGCGCGGCGTGTGACGGCGTATCCGAAGGAGCAGAGGGGGAACTTGGCTCGGTGCATGACGCGCGTTTTCTCGGGCATGCCTAGAAGGCGGAATAGGTCTTGCGTAAATGGGTGCAGGTTAATCCACGATGGAAGCGTAGGATCTTGCCATAGGATGTGTGGCATAGCGCTCAGGTTGAAGGACTGGCGGTCAGTCTTTGGGCCGTCCTCGGTGACGATATCAAAGTAGTCACCGCAGTGACCGAGATAGAGCAGATCCCAGGCATCTTGATCGCCCCAGTATTGTGTGTGGTTGCTGGCGGCGTTGACGCCCGGGTGTTGAGCGCGTGGTGGAGGAAGGAGCTGGCGGGCAGCGCTTGCCGCAAGGGGTATCTGGACGCTGCGCAGGCGGATATCCCAATCGACGTCGTCTTCGAGAATGAGAGCCGTCTCGAGGCCTGAATCCAGAAACCTAAATCATAGCGAATCAGCAGCTGCTCGATGTGGCTGCATGCACGCCAAGACGGGTGGCATGCCGGCGTCGATATAACTTACCAGCGCAGCGCGTTGTGGTGCCCTAACCACGCTAGTATCGATCCCTTCTGCGCCTTTTCCTGACCGTTGATGAAGCGCTGGACGTCGCCTTCAGTCCATTCTGGCTGGGTCGGGATGGTAAGGTCGATGTCGGTGACGTTGGCAGCTTGCAGGAGTGGCTTGCGGCGCGAGGAGCCGTCCTTGGACACGACTACGACGGCGCCGAAGCCTAAGGTCTTGTTGGAGGGTATCTTTGCAGGGCGCGACTCAATCGAGGACATCCATTGCAGGTATATGCGGTCAGTGTCTCTGCTGTGGTACCATATTCCGATGAGGACGAGGACTGTGAGCAGCAGCAGCGGCGTGGGCCGCTTCCTGGAGGCAAGCATGTCTAGCTAAGGTAATGGGCCAAAAGTTGTTGCTGTTGAAGGAGAGTTGCTAGACATGTCCGCGAAGTCGAGGAGGTGGGGGCACGCTATCGCAAGAACAAAGTAGGCATTAGGACGTTGTGTGGCAGGACCGAAGCAGATCGCGCTGGGCGAGGGCCATGTCTAAATGTCGCAGGTTGCGGCGGGAGCAATACGGGAGCATGCCGGGGTGTGGCACCGACATTGCGTCTTGTAACCACTGTATCAGGCTACCTTAGATTATCGCGCATGCACCCGGGATTGCCGTTATTTTACGCTCGCCCGGGTGGATATAGCTTGTAGAGGACGCGGCCGTCGCAGGCTGAGTGTGCGACGGCGCAGTTGAAACGGGCGACAGCACCCAGACGCCTCCAAAAGTGGAAGTACTCCAAAATTGAAAGGCGCGTCTGACCTGCCACCTGTCCGGACGTGCTTGAGCCTTGCGGCTGACTTTTTGTTTTATGACATGCATACGTACCGTGTCCGCGCTGGCGGTCCCAACAACGGCGTCACGTGGTCGACGTGCCGAGTCGATGTGAGCTGCGTACTCTGGGACACGCTACCCTTTGCGCTACCCATCATGCGCCTCATTCAACCACCGATTACGACGCCGACGCTTACAACATTGACTACGACGACGATTAGACATTGACGCTCCAAAGAATTGCACACTCGGCCCTCACGACTGCCACCCGTGACCCTGCGCGACTTGTTTCTGCAGCACTACATTACCTATTCCATCTCTCAAGTCCGCCCTGTTCGCTGCTTGCTAGTTTGTGTCATGCTGTGCGCCGCTGCACCCTGAAACTAGTCGTGCGCCGGCTGCTTGTCCTCCGCAGCCTCCCCTTCTCCAGGCCGCCCGTCCTCGATCTGCGCCGTCCACGGGGTGACCCCAGGCACAAACATCCCCTCGCAGTCCACCGCACCACATGCCCGCCCACTCAGCCAGCCCATAGACATGGCCACGCTGGGCTCGCCCTCTCCCCCGACTTCCCCCTCGCGAACCATGCGCCGCCGCGGCTGGGCCAGGAAGGTGGAGCGCTACTGCTGCACCGCCGTCACCTACTTCCCGCTGCTCTTCGTCTACGGCCTGACGTCGTGGGCCGTGTGGGTGCAGGCTGGCATCGGCTTTGTCCCCTCGAAGAATGTCTGGACGGGTGCGTCTCCCTCTGTACAATACATCCAATGCATATCTGTCCATGTCCAATGAGACCACTTTGAACAAATACATGGATGCGACTACTGACACGTCGCATAGGAAAGTTCTCGTCTGCCCTCGGCGTCTTCCTCTATCTCATGCTCAACTGGAGCTACACGACCGCCGTATTCACCGACCCCGGATCGCCGCTCAATATCAAAAATGGCTACAGCCATCTGCCGTCGCAAGAGGGAGGAGAGATGCAGTACACGTCCTTCACTGTCAAGGCATCGACCGGTGAACTGCGCTTCTGCAACAAGTGCCAGTCCAAGAAGCCCGACCGCTCCCACCACTGCTCCACGTGCAAGCGCTGCGTCTTGAAGATGGACCACCACTGCCCGTGGCTCGCGACTTGCGTTGGCCTGCGCAACTACAAAGCCTTTGTCCTCTTCCTGACATATCTGTCCTTCTTCTGCTGGGTGTGTTTTGCGACGTCTGCGACCTGGGTCTGGAGCGAAATCCTCAGTGACGGACAATACACCGAGTCGTTCATGCCTGTCAACTACGTCTTGCTCGCCGTGCTGTCTGGCATTATCGGGATTGTCATTACAGGCTTCACTGCATGGCATCTGTGGCTTACAGTCAGGGGTCAGACCACGATCGAGAGCTTGGAGAAGACGCGCTACCTCTCACCACTCCGAAGCACGATGAAGCACCAGCTCAACGACCGAAACTATGTCGAGGCGCAAGCAAACGGGCGATTGAGCGTTGGCGACCAATTACGCGAGATCCATGCCAACGCTCTCCCAGGAGTGACCAGACCCGAAGAGGGTGAGCAGCCTTCGCGCTCCGCATCGCGTTCTCCCGTCCCAGGCCACGCGAACGGCTACTCCCACCCGCACTACCAATCCTACGAATACCGAGAACGCCAGCAGAACCAAGACCGCTACGACAGCTACCTCGACGAGCGCGACAACGAGATGCTACCAAACGCATTCGACCTGGGCTGGAAGCGCAACATTGGGCATGTTTTCGGGCCTTCGCCGTTGAAGTGGTTCGTGCCACTGGTAACAACAACTGGAGACGGATGGTCGTGGGAGCCCAGTCCGAAGTGGCTGGCAGCTCGGGAACGGATAAAGCGTGAAAGAGAAAGGGAAGAGCAAATACAAAAGCAGCGTGAGCGCGCGGCTGGCTGGGGTGTGGATACTCCTACGGAAGCAGAGTTTACACGTCCCACTCGCGGTCCGGGTGGGTGGATGCCCGGCCAATACAACCAGCCCCCACCGCGAGCCACAAGACGACCGGAGTGGCAAGCACCCACTCGTCAAGGCGAGCCGACCCAATACCTCACCACTCCGAACGGCATCGCCAAAGGTCCAATCGACGGGCGAAGAAGTCCGAACAAAGCCGACCAAATACTAGGACGAGAACGCGGCATGTACGCCGATGGCGACGTACAACTCCAGAATATCGACAGGAGGAAGTTCGACCAATACAATTACATATCCGAAGACGAAGACGACGATTACGAGGTCTCGAGTGACGAGCAAGCGGTAGACCAACGAAAAGCACGAAAAGCGCAAACCGTATCTGCACCTCCGAAAGGGACGCAAAACTGGAATGATATCCCAGACGGGTTCTTGGACCCAGCACCAAAAGCGAAGAAAAGCACAAGTCGAGAACGGCCGCGGAAAAATGGAGAATGGGATGATTGGGGGACGTGAAGATATGGCGAATATAACGGACACGAAGGCATGTTGGTTATGTTGATATGTACATCTCAATGTTGCATAGCATGGCGTTTGTTGCATAGGAATGGAGTTTATGTCTAGTCATTTGAGGAATGGAGATATTCTTATCCATGGCTTTTGGCTTCTGCTGATGCGATGCGCTGGGTGCAGATTCTAGCTCTCGTGTACGACAGTATAGTATAGCTCAGGTCCAGGGTTCCGATCCCCATCATCCGCTTCGGTCTCCACCCCCTCTGCCTTCGCGCCTGCTTCTTCTAGCCTTTCTAATCTGGCCTGTTGTTCCTTCCTCACCCAAGCCTCCGCCCTTTTCTTCCTGACCTCCTCTTCTCTTTCCTTCATCTTCTTCTTCGCCATCTCCCTCGCTAACACCCAGCTCGCATTCTTCCCCTCAACCCTCGCCATTACCGTCTGCGCCTTTGTCTCTAACAACTCGATTATCTTCATCATCGCCTCATGACGCGTACGTCCTTCTTGGGGCGCGGTACCAAACTGGAGTTCGTTATCGTCGCCGATGCCCACAACGGCACAGCGGAAGGGCTCGACGGCGCTGCGGGGTTGGTGACGGCCGATGAAAACTTCGTGATCGTCTGGGGTAAAGAACAGAACGGAGAGCTCTGGGTGGTTGTTAGTTTTAGGGAGTTCAAACGATGAAGAGGCGGACTTCTTAGGTAGTTGTAGGTTGCTTCGTCTGTGGGCGTTATTGCGGATGTGGGAGATGGTTGGGACATTTTGGTGGTATGTTGGTAGAACGGTCTTGTAGTGTACAAGGAAGGGTTCGAGTTGATGTGCAAGATTCGTGGTATATCCAGATGTTAAGACGGTTTACTGTCATATGTACTTGCTTTGCTTTCATGAGACTGGCTGTAAGCAGCTAGTCAAGTCCCGTTGATTCTGGGAACTGACTAGATAAGCAAACTTGTACTGTTGTACATACTATTGACTATATACACCTCTAAGAACTTGCATGTTGCTCTGGTTGAACTCACACACCCGCCCTTTTCCGAAAATCGACATAGATCCCACGAAATCAAAATCAGCACACATGCCTATCACGGCCGCAGAGTACAACACTTTCTACTTCATCGCCAAACTCATCCGCCAAGTATTCCCGGGGCACAGATTGTATGTCGCACGTGAAAAGAACCTAGCCGGCAAGGTTCTCAGCTACCACGCCGGGGTAGCGAAGTATGAAGGCAAGGTGATGAAGGACATCATCATGGCTAGCGGTAATGCGGGGAAACGCGTCGATGCACTAGACACACTTTTGGGAGATCTGGAGGACTACGTGCACTATAACTTTGAGCAGATCGAGGCGGAACGGCGGGCTAGGGATGCTGAACTTGATGCTGAACTTGATGCCATGGAACCCTCCAGTGAAGAGGAAGACGAGGGGGGGAAGAGAAAGGGGAAAGCACCAGGGGGAAGAGGTGCTGATACAAAGCCCCGGTTAGACACCGACCAGTCTCTAGAGAAGGGGGACGCGGAAATGTCTGGTAAACGCAAGTCAAGTGAGGACTCTTCACCAGTTCGGGTGAAGGCAAGAGCGAAGCGAGAGGATAGAGAGTTGAAGGAAGGGACAAGGGGCGGTCAGGGTGATGTGCAGACTTCGTAGTGTGTTACATATGTGACATGTTGTTCTGCTGCAAGTACCTGTGCGGCTATCATAAGACTGGGATTAAGTTGGCTGGGTGATGCTAAGTTTGATCACTGTTCTGGTAGACAAACTTATACCTGCCTTCTACTTATATAACTTCACGCACACGCATGCTGACATTCCAACACTTACGCTATCTAACAACCCGGGACCAGCACCGATGTCCAGTAGCATCACAGACCTCGAGTTCCAGACCTTCTACGTCGTAACCAAGCTTCTCGACGCCGTCTATCCAAATGGCAAATTGTACCTTTCCCACGGCTTGAGCACTGAAAGGGATTCTTACCGGTATCGTGCCGCTGTAGTAGAGTCAAAAATAGAGTCTTCGGGTAGTGTCAAGAGACGACTACTCTCGCAGGTCGAAACAGCCAAAACTCGGATTGGTGTTCTAGAAGCCGTGCGGAAGAGGCTTGAGGAAATCGCGTCCTGGAGACTCGACGTGATCATGAGCGACAAGGAAAGAGATGATGTGGAAGAAAACGAACGGAAGAGGAAGAACTTGGTGAGTTGCGAAGCAGCGTATGAAGAAGCTAGGAGGAGAGCGGAGAGCGGAACAGGGCTGGTCTCAGCTGCAGGAGAAGCTTTGACGATGGAAGATATCGCCAGAGAAATTGGGGTAGAGTTTATTCCACAGAAGCCTTGGTAGATAGGAAAACGTAGAGGCATGGTTAAGCAATGGATGGCATGTTTGGTAGATGTGGTCCCTGGTACCTGCTGGTCGAGAAGTCAGGGTCCTCACTAGCGCCGCGCGCTAATCAGATTGAAAGTACATGTGCACCTGCCCAGGTGGACATCTCCATCACATCTCATCACCAGAAACCCTACCAAAGTTTTGCCCTACTACTAACCGATCTCAACTTTACAGCCGTCTTTGATCGATATGACTAATGTCATAACCTGCTTCTCCACTCCCACCAGCTCGGCAGCTTCTCCTTTGGGAAGTCTGATATCCGCGAAGCTCTGAAGAAGTCGCACAATCACGTACCCAGCTTCCGTTAGCGCGAAGTCCACTAGAATTTCAGATTAGCTTAATGACGAAAAGCGTAACCAACGCAGGTACTTACTGCCCAGACAGGTCCGCGGTCCACCATGGAAAGGAAGATATCCCCACTTGGCGTTCGTCGGATCTTGCTGCAAAGGCATCTCTTCATCCCACCTCTCTGGCCGAAACAGCTCTGCATCCATCCCGTAAAGGTCCGGTCGGCGGTGCATGGCATACACACTGAAAGCTATCGCGCTCCCTTTGGGTATGAGGACTGGGGAAGTGCGATCCGGACCGCCACCTGTGGGGAGTACCGTGGTCCTTGTAGCCATACGGATGTTGACAGGTACAGATGGGTATAGTCGCAGGACTGATCTGAGGGTGAGAAGCTCATTCGAGAGGAAAACTCAGGGTTGAGACGTACCTTCTCTGAGTACGTTTTGCAGGTACGGCAATCGTCTTAAGCTATCGCGGCCAAGTTCCGCATCAGCGCCACAGGTCGAGAGGAGTTCCTCGCGCAGCTTCTTCATCACGTTCGGATGACGTACGAGTAGAAAGCTGTTCACATTAGACGCGAATCCCAACACCAGAAAGCACGACTCACAATGTCCAGGAAAGAAGGCAGGCTGTGGTGTCCCTCCCAGCGACCAACAGACTGATGATTTGACCTCTTAATGCAGCTCGATTCGACGCATGCTGCGCAACGGCATCCAGAAAGACATGTTTACCCTCATCATCTGTCTTACATCGGTTCGACGAAATGTTGCGATCGATAATCTTGTCGGCAAACTCGCGAACATCTCGGCAAGCTTTCCTGAACCCTCTACCGTCAATCATCCAGTACAGGTCCTGGAGTCGATATCTGATAACGGCCCATTGTTGGGCGGTATTGAATGCATCCGCAAAAGTCCGCTCCCCAATAACCTCCGGGTTTGCGAGACTGCGAGTGGACTCGCCAAACAAGAACGCTGTTGTAGTATCGAGAGTCAAGCGGAAGAAGAGCGGCTGCAGATCAACGATCCCGTCGCGTTCTCGAACCAACCGGATGAGATCATTGGTCGCTTCTTGGAATATTTCAAGGCTCTCATAATGCTTGTGCTGCAATTGCGGTCGCAGCATATCCCGGGAGTGTTTCCAGTCAGCGCCTTCCTGCGTGAAAATACCGTCACCAAACGCCGGAAACAGGATAGCTCGGCGAGGCCCAAGACCAAAATCTACCTGTAAGTCAGCGTTCTAAAACACCCACCACCTCATCTTCTTCATTCCGTACCTTTGAAACTGGTAGACAAGATAGCCTCCAAATTAGCCGGCTCGACCGTTCCATACGCCTTCACTCCCAAGAACTTGTGCTCTAGTGTCTTTCCCGTTTGCCGAAAATGGAACAGGAAGAGCTCCATCAATCGCGATTCAGAGTCTGCGCGAAAGATCTGCTCAAGTCGATCGATACCAAATGGCCTCTGGTTCTTCAGTCTGGGGGCTGGAAGACATCCGTGGCGGTCGCTAATCGCTTGATCTGACTTTGCAAATTTAGTAATTTGGGAGTGTGTAGGTGATAGATTGGACCTACGAGGCATTGTCGTCGGTAAGAAAGATACTGGATTACGAGCGCAACCAATGAGACAGTTGCTACAAGAAGTGCCACCGGCGTCATCCTGTCGACGAGATCGGAAAAGGCAGCAGCCAGATCATGTAAGAGAGTCGGCGAAAATCCGAGAAGTAACTGGAAAAAACAGATTGAGCGTTTGCGCGTGCGCCACAAGGGTGGAGTACTCCTTGTTGGGCGTTCGTGTAACGCAACACCAACGCGCTATGATAGAGCAGCAGGCGTTGAATGGGCCGTGCTTTTGACTTCCATCCTCCTAGAACATCCTTTTCTGTCGCAAAGTCGTCTTCAACATCTGCAGGCTTCTACGCCGCTGGAATATCAGAGATTGTTCTGTACGTTTGGTTTGCGTTTGCTGCCATGACGAACAAACCGTCTCAACATCTCACTATCTAAACATCGTACTTCGCCTTGTCTTAACTAACTCACCAAAACTCCAAGCCATTATGGAAGTGAACTCCACAGTCATGGCCAAACACGTAACCGAAGCCGATCACCGCACTCTTAGCTATGTGAAGATGCTAGCCGATAGCCTCTTTGGCGATGAATTCAAACCATCCATCGTCGTCTATCCAAACTACAACGCTTTCGGTCCCGATGGATATCTGACTAACCTTGCTGCTACCTCAACCAAAGATCCCTCGATAGTATGGGCAGCATTTGGGTCGTTTGGGCCACATAAGGGATCGACGAGGGAAGAAGCATTGCTAGGACTGTTACGCAGCTTGGAGGGGTGGGCGGCGCAGAAGATTCGGGAAAAGAATCGAGTAGACTTTTGGGAGAATGTCTATAACGGATGGGCTGCCAGGGACAGGGCAAGAGCAGAGCGCGCTGCTCGAGATGCGGCGACCGGGGCGACGAATGATGGAACAGATGGACGAGGTGACCTAAGAGGCGCAGGATAGAGAGGCAAGATATTTATACGAAGATTGGAGAGAGGTAGAACGGAAGAAGCTGTTGTACCGAGATTGGAAGAGCCTTGCGTCTAACCGTGTTAGTGCTCGTCAATAGCGATGTACACTCCAGGCATAACAGAATTATCTCTTGACGCAGATATCGCACGTGTTAGGCGACTTCAACTAGCGCGGATCATACAAGTGACGTACTACACACTATGTATCTATCGCGCATTCTTATGAGGGTCTCGTACGGAGGATATGCAATCGTATCGAATCGCTTCGACGGTTCCACAAAGTTTGCTTCTCCAAATGATCTCACCCACCTGTTGACCTTCCCGTCTCACTGTACAACTAAACAAACACGTTGGTACACCACTGATCCTAGTCGATGACGCGGCTTCTTCACCGGTTTCTCGCCATAATAGACCGTCTTTAGATGTTCTCAATGTCTACACACTTAAGTCGCAAAGATCAGACATGGATTCATTGGCAGCAAGTATGCCTGAGCGCCTCGGCCGACCTTGCGAACCTCTTCCAAACTTGCGAGGTGAAGACGAAACGGAAATTAGATACCTCATCGACCTAATCGAAAGTAAGTACCAAAACCCCTTAACCCCATCCCTCCCACCCACTCACCTCCCTCCCAGCACAATCATGGATCCTCTCCCCCCTCAAACCCCCCTCCTGCATCCTCGGCCGCCACCCCCCGCCCAAAGCCTCCGCAAACTCCACCTCCAAACCGAAATCCGTCGACCCCTCTCTCGCTTTCTGCGCGTCCCTCTACAGCATCGAACAAGGCGGGGTCAGGAGCTTGGAACTGGGACCGGAAATGGGTGGGAGCAGGAAAGAGGCGCTGGAGCATTTGTTGGGGGTTGTGGAGATGGAGATTGGAAGGATGATGCTGAATGATGATAATTATCAGAAGAAGAAGGCGGCGAGGGATGGGGGTGGGAGTGTTGGGAGTGGGAGTGTGGGGAGGGGTGAGAGGGGGTGAGTGGTTGAGGAAGAGGGATGAGATGGGTTCTGGGTTCCTTGAAGTCTTCGACGTATGCATAACGATTTTGACCACCTCGAATAAGACACTTCGCTTGGCTTTATAGTTCTGTCCATTGTCGTGCGCTTCTAAATGTTCATGAACGTCTTCACACTCGAACCTCCTCGCAGTATCGTATCCCTCGGAAGCATCTCTATGATCCAATCCATCATGATCATTTCCATTTCCAACTCCAGCGTCTCGAATATTCGCTCCCGTCTCTCCGCTCTTCGAACACCCTGGAGTTCAATCTTAACTTTATGGAAACCGCGCTGCATCATAGTTCTCCACTGCCTCCAACAGTTTCAATAGCACCTCACTACGCGAGTTTGCTACTTGCATTGGAATGAAAACCGTCTCTTGAATTCTAGCCTGGGAGACAACCATCACCGGATATCCTATGACCATGGCACAATATTCGAGGTTGCCATTTGTGTCGCGACGACGAGCTATCTTTACAGCGGCGTGAAAATTAGGTAGGAAGAGGGATGTAACCAAGAATTTGAGGAGCTTGAGGTTGTTGACATCGTCTCGTGTTACTGGACGGCTGGCCATGGTTGGATCGAGAGGTGGTAGAAGAGGATGGGTGTGAGAACGATCTTTCATACTGGGAAGAGGATCACACGCAATAATACTCTAGGTGATTGCCTATACAATTGCTAGACGTGTCAGCAATAATAGGATGCATGGCTTGCTTTGCCAAACCCATGGCCTCTTGAAGATAATTGCGATGTCAGAGAGCAAGCAGCCCGACCGATACATAGCCTTGAAGGGCAAGTCTCCAATAAAGCTTCGCAGACTGTAGTCTTCATGAGTACCATGGCACATGAATCGAGCAATGAGAATCGTCCCCACGTACCAGCACCTCCCAGCGTTCCTGCTACGCCTCTCTTGGATAGCGATGAGAATCACTTGAGCTATCTCAGCAGTACAACACCCCTTTTCACCAAACCTTATGTTTCTACTAACACAATCACAGAGTTGATCACGTCCACGTATCGCCCGACGCTAGAGCCACTGCTCCTCATGGGTAGATACGAAAGCAGAGGAGAGGGCATCGAGAAGTTCCGCGCGTGCGTCATTGGCTGGAACACCAAGTCAGTTGGCGGGGCAGAAAGAAAGTTCCTCATTGCGCCTCAGGAAGGGCTGAGTCGTCAGTCTGCGCTGTTGGCTGTCATCAGATTGGTGGAGAGTGCAGCGCATAAGAGAATGGCGGATTTGGAGGCTAAGGAGGCGTGTGATCTCTGAAGCAAGTGGAATTGGGTGACAGAGTCTGTATGATCAGAAATAAGATTCATGTCGGCTTTCATAGCTTAGATTTCTCGTCCAACAATGGTATGCCAACCGCCTCTTCGAGCTCTTTCACAGCGTCCTTTGTCTTGCCCAGATTCACCTTGATTGTCCTTAGTCCCGTCTTCTTCGCAAACTTCAGATTTATGCCGATATCGTCCAAGAAGAGAGTGTCACCTTCTGTCACACTCCCCATGCCCTTCTTCCTCGCGATCTTGTCCATCTCCCGTACAGCCAGCTTGTATGCCTCCGGATCCGGTTTCCTGACGCCAACCACCGCCGAGCCGAGGAAGATGTCAAAGCATGTTGTGATATCTGTGGAGTCGTTCGCGTAGGGATTCGGGGCGGGAGCGTGGATAAGCTCTTTGGTGAAGAGCTTGCCTTCGTCGTCGAGAATGCCCGTGGGAAAGGTAACGTTGTTGCTGAACGCGCCCAGGACAAACTTTCCGCTTTCTCCCAGCTTACGCAGCGCAGGATACAGGTACGGGTCTGGTGCTCGGCTGATCTTCATCATGCGCCAGAACAGCTTCTTCGCGTCGATGTCTGGTACTTGTGGTTTCCCGCCCTCAATCGCCTGCCCACCACCGACGCTCTCTTGCTGCGCAAGCTTCTGGAGATATTGCGACCATACTTCCGGTCGCATAAGCTGCTTCTTAAAGGCCGCGAACCAGTCGTCATTTAGTTCGACTTCACCGCGTTCGATGAGCTGCCAGGCGCCGGTGTCGTGAGGGCCTTTCTGGATCGCGAAGTTTATGTAGCCATTCGGGATCTTGTTCTCAATTTCGTAATCGAGGATGGCTTGGAAAGGGCTTATGACCTGTAATGAGACACGTTAGCCAACGTGGTCCTGTCGCGCATAGTGATGGATGGCTGGGCAGGTGGCAGTATGAGGAGGTACGTACGACAACCCCGCCAATGTCGAACAGGATGGCTTTCGGTGGCTTCGAGGAGGTCATGATAGATAGATGTTGATAGAGATGGCAAGCATCGCTATGAGACTGTCATGGTGGTTTGTAGCGCGTCATCATGGTCGGCAGTCGAGGAGTCGTGAAGCCTCAAGGAACCTCGGCAATGGATAAGCTCTATCGGTCAACGGCGCTAGCCCCCGCAAACACTTCAACCTCACAGGCATGCATTATTTATCTTGTTTGTGCGCTTATCTTATAATAATCTAATTATAATAACTTTAATAGTACTTTAAGTAGTTAAGTATATAATAACTATAATTTACTAATAAAGTCTAAGCTAGTATATCTTTATATATATTTATAGTATAGTAATAAGTTTTTAAAATAACTTTAAAATAAAATAGCTTATACTATAAAACTATAGTTAAAGTTTAAGTATATAAAGTACTATTATTATTTTTTATTATAGTATACTATTTTTATTTAAACTCTTTATAATTATTAATATATTTACTTAGCTTAAAATCTTAGTTTTAGTTTTTAACTAAAAGTAAGTATACTTATTACTACTACTAAAATAGTACTTTAGTAGCTAGTTACTAAAAGTAATAAAAATAATTATAAAAATTAAAGTACTTATTAAAAAATATAATAATACTAAAGTATAAAATAATAACTAAATAATTAAGCTAGTTAAATTATATTACTAAAAAGTTAGCTTAAGTAATATAAGTAATAATAATACTTAAAACACAACTAATAGTATATAGTAATTAACTATAATAAAGTTAACTTTATTTAGCTAGAAATTAACGTCTTAAACTAGCTACTTATAAAGTATATTAATAGTATTTTTAGCTAATATAAAATAAAGTAGCTTAAGTATATATATATAAAAAAAATTAGTATTAGTAATACTATTATTACTAAATATAGTAAGTACTTTAATTTACTTAAATAAGTATAGTCTAAAGTAGTAAGTATAAGTTAGTAAAAATAATAAAATACTAAAGTAAAATTATAAGAAAAAACTTACTTAAAGACTAGTATCTTAGTAATAAAATTATGTTAAAATATTAGAAATATTAGAGTTATTATTTATTACTAAAGTTAACTTTTACTAATCTTGCTATTTCTAATAATTTAAGGTATTTTAGTCTGCTTTCTTCGTCTCCGACGCTTAGGCGGTGTTTGGGCTTGGGATGAAGGCTCTTTAGGTGGAAGTTTCACGACAATCTTGTCGCTCATCTCCATCCTCGCATCCTGAAACTCGGGGGTCGATCCGGTCCTCGTCGACACATCACAATGCTCGACCTCCATATCCATTCTCGACACTGGCAGATTGGGTATCACGCTCACCTGTCGTGTATCATTGGGCGGCAGCCGGACCCTGGGATACTTCCGATCCGTTAGGCCCGGCCCACTGTGCAGCCTGGAACGAGAAAAGTCGCCAATAGACTCACAATGCTGGACATTGCTCCTTAGTCTTCCCGTCTTCTTGAGACCCTTGACATCTTTGATCCGGGTTTGGCGCTGCATGCGCTCGCAGTGTTGATAGCGGAGGCGTTCCAGTTCAATCCGGGCTTGTGTTGTTTCGTAAAGGTAATGCTGTTCGTCACCTACAGCGAGGATATGGATAAGCATGTGCTCGAGGTCAGAAGACAATATCAAGCCTCTAGCATTGAAGTAACCAATGTTTATGACCATCTGGTCCATGATCTTGTGTCTACCGATGAGTTCAGGGACCAAAGCCTCGACATCAGCGAGGGTCATCGGATGGCGTGAGATATGTTGCAGGAGAGGACGCTGGCCTTTGACAGGCAAGTTCCTCATCATTTGCTCCACACGAGTTGGGAGTGGGGGTGGCGTGTATTCTTTGACGCTACTTCTCAACCCCACTGCATCGCTTGCGCCTTGGTGTAATGTATCATCTAAGCTCGATGGATCGAGAGCTGGGGAAGGAGTAATGGGAGAAACTGGAAATACCAGATCAGTCCGGCTTTGCCACCCGAAACAGCCGCCTAGGCTCAGAGATGCCACTCGAGACTCGAGCGTTGACACGACCATGAGATTAGTTGAGCAGAGGTGGGAAGGGGTGCTGAAGCTAGAGTACTGATCGTGATGGACCTGTAGGTAGTGAGCAGTTGCTCATGTCCCATACTGAGGGACTTCGCCTAGGCATATGTGGAACGGAGTGAACAGTGTTTCGCGCGGTGTGTTGGCATATCGCAGCATACCCAGCGGGATGTGAATCTGTTCTGCGTGCCTTGTGAGTCTATCGGTACAATCATACACTAGAAGAAGTCACAACGTGTTGTGCAATAGAGCCCTCTTCACGCTCCCGCAACGCACGATGTGAGACTGTAACGGAGTACGTACACAATGTCGCGTAGAAAGGGGATGTGTTAGAATCAGTGAACAAGATATGCGAGGTAAAAGCTGGAAAGGCATTATGCATACTATACGTGTACCGCTAGATGGCTGAAAGCCCGCAAAGTCAATCCTACGCATGTTTTGCCGACCGTCTTCAAAAGCAAACACGACTTACTGTAGTCGCATTTATGGGTCTTGCTTGCGTAAGGCTATTGTGTCAGACACGATGGCAAAAGTTCTGCTCACACGATTGCTGAAAGCTTTATGGCTCTCAGAACAAAACTGAGCAGTTGCGTACCAAAGTTCTGTTGCTTCAGGACTGGTACCCACATATGGCGGACGAGTACCATGACGTATTGATCTGGCCTGCGGGAATCATTGTGCTTTACTCGTTACTACTCCGAAAACAAGCCTCATGCGTTCCAAGTCAGCTCGTAGCCGAAGACAGTCCGACGAAGACGTTCATCCTAAGTTCGGTCAGTGACGTCTACAGAGTAAGCGATCCGCAAGACTTACACCAGGATCTTCCTCGAACATGACCTTATCCATGACCTTCTCGAACGTCTTAGCGACGGTAAAGCCCGCTTCCTTGGCCAGATCAAAGAAAGCCAGGTCTTTCTCGTACAACCACGGGCGGTATGGTGTAAAGAAGACGTAGGCTCGGGAGTTCGGCGATTTCTTGAGGGTCAGCTGGACAGTCTTGATGAGTTTGGCATGTTCCGAGTGGTTGAATAGAAGGTCGGCCAAAATGAGGACATCAAAGCCCGAACCATCAGCCAGATATTTCGTCAAGTCACCGGTAGGCGCACCCCAGAGATACCCCTGTACATACATTAGTGATGTTTGCCAAGGTTGAGCACAGTCACAAACCTCCGCCACAATCTTGGGTGGCTTAGGCAATAGTTCGCAATGGTCGACATTGTATTGCAGGTTTTCGACCAACTCAGCATCGGGATAGTCCGTAACGACCGTTTGAGCGGCACCGTTGAGAGCACAGACAAGGCTTGGAAGACCTGCTCCGGCGCCAAGCTCGAGAACCGTCCGGTTTTCTACGAGCTCTTTTGCATTCTCCTCCAGGTATTCAGATATAGTGCGCCCTGCATTCCATAGAAAGTGCCCCTGAATGTGTCAGTGAACGTGCCAGGCGCAGTTCAAGTACGTCAGAACTCAGCGAATGTATCGAAGCATTTCCGAAAATTCCACGGGCTTTCTAGAAGTCTTCTAGAAGAACGGAAGCCAATAGTGGTTGCATTGACAAGTTCCATACAGTGCTTCGGCATGTCGGTGATCAAATGCATGACTTACCCACAAAGGGTTGTGACCAACCAAACGAACAGTGAGCTCTTTGCCGGAAAGCAGCTGATGCGACGCGAATGTGGCCTGCTTTTCTGGTTCATAGAAATCGGTAGGCTCTTGGAACAGGTCCAGGCCCTCCTCGTCGGCTTCTGAGGACATGATGAAAGGAAAGTTGTGACGAAACAATGGTCTTGGCGAAGATTGTATTTTGGGTGTTCGAAGAGCGGAGCCACAAGTGGCACGTGCCTAGATCACCAGCCACCACCTTTCCTATCTCAGCTGCGTTCCAGACAGACGCAATCTTCGAAACAGCGGATCGCCGTCATCAACGGGGTCTGAAGGCTGACCAGGCAGGATGCGCTACAAACGGCCGCAGGGTCTGCCGCTCGCTCGTTGGCTGTGGCAGCGAGCGTTGCACCAGCCCGATGGCGTGGGACGTGATCCAGGTGGCTTCGAGCGACGCCTCATGTATACCACGGCCTACCAATCGCGCCCACACCGATTGAATTATCGCGGTACTCATCTGAGCGCGCCAGGGTCCGCTCGGCGCCAGATTCCCCACGCTCCAGTGATATACCCGGCGGCCGCAGCATCGTTTCCACGGTTCTTCTGACCATGATCTGAGCAGGCACAGGTGCTGCTCTCCGTAGGTCACGTTTTCATAACTCCCGCCTTGCACGTACTTTATCTCAGCACTTCCTCCGCTTACTTTACCGCTGAGACATCGCCTGGCATCTATTTCTCCATCATCGCACCTTCTGCTTGTGCCGCCCTGAAGCGACTAAGACCGCTTAGTAAGAAACTTGCTCAACGCTAAGGCACTAAGCCTAATCCAACCCTCCGCCAAACGTCGCATCCATTCAATCCACGACAAACCTTCGAGCGCCGACCAGCAGATCCCACGCCTTGACAACTGGAGACCCGAGTCATTCATCCGTCTAGTGGGGAGAGGTGACGGCGGTGTTCTTTCTGCGGTTTCGAACTGGTATCTCACGTCCCCACCAACGCTGGGCCCTGTCAAGGCAATATTTCTCCAGACCGCATCCTGGGAGGTAATCCAGTACAACCGGCGCCCTGATTCCGCCGGCTCTCAACTGAGGACCCTGCCGCTGTTGCCGTGTGCATTTCCGACGTGCGCCCGCCTGCATACGATCCACCATTCATCCGTTCCGCGCTCAAGATCGCTACTGCATCAACCAACGCCTGTGCTTATACAGTATTATCACCGACACTGTGGGAAGCCGGTGGCAGCGCTCAGGGTTATCAACGCTCCAGGCGCTCGGAGCTGGACCCTTCACAGATCACTTAGCCAAGCCGAGTACCGAGTCTACCTTCTCTTTCGGATAGTTACATCGCACCACATTGAAGCCTGTCGGCCACTTTCCTATCCAACGAGAGTCGTACGTTTAGCCTAGACTCTTGCCACTGCACTGTCTTCCGTGCCGTACGCCACCTCACCCCTCCGCAAGACTTTCACGTGCGCGGTGTACAGTAAGCTTGGACAAAAGCTGTTTCCATCAGCAGTCTTACTTCGTCCCCGATACACGGCGCATTTGGTGGTAACCTGCCGCGGATTGAGCAAGTTATTTCGACCTCATATCAGCCCCGCATCATGTGGGCCGAAGTCAATGGAGAGCGCAAGAAGGTCGCCTGGTAGGTACTCCCGCTTATTCGTCTTGCTCCTTGTTCTGCATTGTCCTACCCTCTCGTCTTCGCTATCTGTTACGCACATACAGCAGGTACCCGAGAAATTCTTTAGCGACTGCGGCTTGCATCGCATTGCGCAGGCTGCTCATTCGCTGTGCACTTTAACTGACTTTCAACAGCGGTCCGTGCATCCGCGGCCATCGCTCGTCGAAATGCGACCACAGAGATCGGGTGCTTGTCGAGGTTCGAAAGCCGGGTCGACCTTTGAGTAGCTGTCCACATCCGACTGGCTCATGCAGTTGCGAACGTGTCGTCATCAACTACACAATTCCCAAAGCGTCTGAATGTGCTTGCCCTTCGGAACGAGCTGCGCCTACAGCTACCGTTGCAGGAAACAGTCGAATCCAAAAAGGCAGGCGTAAGTCTGCAGCCGTCACCCCGTACAACCTCGAGAAGGCCATTCAGGCTGGTTTTGACGCCAAGACTGATGCCTCTTCCATCACGTATACGCCTTCAGAGACAAGTGGTAGCAACGCAGCGTCACTCCCTTCGAGTGCAAGTTCAACCCCACGTTTACTCCCTGCGCAAAACGAGCCCGTCTCAAGTTGCTGCAAGCCGAAGCCGGTTCTATCGCCAGTTCAAGAAGGAGGTTGTTGTGGTAGCAAAGCCAAGCCAGCACCAGCACCAGCACAAGGAGGCTGCTGTAGCAGCAAAGCCAAAGCCAAACCAGCTCCAGAGCCGCCAGTGCAGAAGAAGTCTTGCTGTTCAACGAAGCAGGAAGATGCACCCATCAACGACCAGTCACACGCTTATCAACATATGGGACATCAATTCCAATTTCCAGCTCAAGCGGTGATCCCACAGTACCAAAACTTCCATGCGCAAATACCATCGCCTGCACCGAACCCCTTCGGTCTCGGCACTCCAATCTATAATCATGCAGCGGCAGCCTATCATCGCCAAAATTCCATATCGATGAGCCCGTCAACGAATCCTCCCATGTCACCGTCTGTTGCAAGTCCTCACATCGGTCAACACGTCCCCGAACACAACTGCCATTGCGGAGAGTCATGTAGCTGTTTTGGATGCGCAGCGCACCCGAACAACGCTACAATGATGGAATATGTTAGGATCATGGCACACTTCCAGTACAACGGCGGCTTCGGAGGGATGCCTCCACCTCTCTACGACATGCCTACCTACCCTCATCAATCTGGCTACGGAGCGGAAGCCGGTCACAACCTGAACTTCGGCCCAATGCAACAAAGCTTGGCAACACCCACACCAACGCAGATGAGCTTCCAACAGAGTATGGACATGGCGACCATGCCCCAGGTACCAATGGTGTTGCCCAGGGATTGGCCACAGCAACTGAACCCCGTGCCAAGCCAGCCGCAAGCCCAGTTTCCGACCAGCCTTGGTTACACACCATCTATGTCAGCGCCAAGCGACACGTTGCAAAACTCGGCCGACACCATAGGATCACCCGCAGCCAGCAGCCCGAGCGACGTCAAAGACGAAGACACCGTAACGCTATCGCCATCATCCTACTTCTGGAACGAGATGACCCTACCAAGCTGTTCAGACGCGTCTGGTACCTGTCAATGCGGAGATGGCTGCGCATGCGTCGGCTGTCTTACACACGGTGGTCATACCGGTGAACCTCTGGAGGACCCAACACCGACGACGACTGCAGAGCATGGTTCTTTTCTCGGTTTCGACCCGAGTCTGGCGCTTAACATGAATGACCCGACCGACTTCCTCAGCTTCAATCCGGACCCGAGTTGAGGCAAATCATTCACACGGGGTTTCTCTGGATCGAGTGACTTCGCTTTCGAAGCGGTTGCTGCTCGTACTAAGGACCTCTCGATTGTTTCACGTTATATCACAGCGACGCGCACTTACGCGCAAGTCATCGACACGGATAAACGATACGCATCAACATCATCAGCTTGTACGCATCAAGTTGCGCTATGAATGACAGGTATGACGACGTAGCCTTTTACGACCCGTTGTCCATCGGCACATAGATTAGCGCGCCTTCACGCCTGCTATACGTTACATCTCCATTCAGTCTAATCCACCTTCATCTTCTATACATTCGCCGCCGTCAACAGTGTGACAGGTGGGCCGTTTACCTTTGCATCGTCATGGGAGGGGGAAATTGTGTTTTAGCAGCATTACAAGAGTTGGAAGTTTGGCCCACGGAGGATTGCACTTTGCATTTTTTGTTGTTTCACCGATTGGTGTACTGAGACTATACCCCGGCATCGTGCTGATGGAGACTTCGTTGCCGTATGATAGCATAGTGAATCGATGTTTACACTTCATGGGTTACCTCCTGAATATTGTTCGACCCATTTGTGTCACCTTTCTTGCAATCGTTTAGAATATCAACGTAAGACATTGAAGTCAACAGGCCATTGGCTTTAACGAACGAAGAGCTCTTCTCGACATAGGAGTCCAAGACAACTGTGCATCACGACTGGCACGTGGATCACCGCCCATAAAGATCCCGATACTATTGCTGACAGAAGAGAAAATGTGTACATATCCGAAGAAAGGTAATTGGTAATCCGTTCAAGAAATCCGAAACCTCCTCCAAAAGCTCCGTCGAGATCGTTGCCGCAGTCCGCCGGGCCTTCGACATTGTGAAAGTATTGACCAGGAATACATGAGCCTGCTGAAATAGGCTGACGTGGAAGTGGGAAATAGTGAGAACAGTGTCGTGAGAGCCGAGAATCTAATAGAGACAGACCAAGGAAAGTGACAAGACAGCGGGGTACATGCGTTTGACGCAACACAAAGACCGGGTGTGCTAGCCATCCGATAGTACAACAGTGAGATCGCCATGCATAACAGCAGCCTATCCAAGTTAGCGATCGTCTGGCTTTGCCTCAGGACAGTAGAGCAACATACAGTGCAGCCGCGATCTGGGTCTTCCCAACACTTGTCACCTTGACACCACTGGTTTGTGGCGCTCTTGTACCGGCAAGGAGACACGACGCCATCGCCGATGAAGGTGATGTCGTAGCCAAGTCGCTCCTTCTTGCATAGCTCATTTTGTTTCAGGCTGGAGAAACCTTCCTGCATTGGACCGTCATCGAAAGATGTTCCAAAGACCGCTGGCGCCCAATTGCCCTTGCCTCCCATTTCTGTACCCCACGTACAAGCCTCGTCTTCAGGTACGCCCTGTTTGTTGACGTAGTACTGAGCTGAAGTCTTCTTGCCTTGCCAAAAGAAATACTTCTGTTGATCGGGATTGGCTAGGAAGCCGGTCTCACCAGGGCCGACGGTGACTGGGAAAGTCATGGACTCGGTCCCTGCTACGTGTAAGCAAGTGCATTGGGAGGGTGGGTGTTTATCATACCGGGATAGTCTGTGCGACAGAAAGAGACAGACTTTGAGAGTTTGTTCTGCACTTTCACACCCATGTGCTTTGATCCTTGAACGCAGAGGGTATTGGCGATCTTGCCGTCGGCCATCTCCAGGAACCCGTCTTCATTGCAGTACAAGCCACCAACACTCTGACCCGTCCTACCTTGAATCGAGGGGAACGAAGCCTTGAGATACGGATTCGGACAGCCATAGGAACAGAAGCTGCCAGACGTGCAGCAGGTACCATCCGAGCATGAACCTTTCGGAACGGTTGTGATGTCATCGAAACCATCCCCTCCGGAATATTGGGGATCTTGGATACCGGACCAGCCTCCCAATCCCTCATGGGCGATAGGCAAGGCGCCATATCCGTGAGGGAACTCAGTGCAACGTATCTTGCCGTTTGGGAATTCTTTGTCGCACTCAGCACAGTGACCATCCTTGTCGACCATGTCTATCCAGGGACGCGGAGTGCCGGAGTGCTGAACAGGTGTCGTATCCTGGGAGGGACTCGGTGTAGGGTCGCTTGGGGGCATTTCGGGTGTTGGCGCGGGCTTCTGCGGTTCGGGCGCAACAGGCTTGGGCTGTTCGGCAGCCTTCTTAGGAGTGGGTTCTGGTGTCGGATCGGCGGCTGGAACTTGATGCTTGGAAGCTGGAGGCAGAGTAGGCAGTGCGACAGGACTACTAGTCGATGTCGAAAGAACACCATCAGTGCCCCACTTCAGAGTGCCGTTAGCGATACCTTCACGGGCCTCTTCTTCTGTGATTGAATGATCATCGAGCCAGTATACGATATGAGTCTCGGTCGCTGCAGGCGTGAACATGGTACCGCGCTTGACCGGATCGTGAGCATGAGCGTGGCGGTGCATGTGGTGCGGCTTAGCTGCAGTGATCACAGCAAGCGCTGTGGCGGTAACTATGTGGCCAATCTTCATGGTAGGCTAGAGCTTGCAACACTTTCGTGGAAGTCGCTAATAACTTCTCCGGACGTTAGCCAATGCGGCAGTAAGTAGTGTGACGCAGAGCGACTGACCGTTTCTTCCCTCTAATCAGTTACTTCCTCCAAGTTCTTGACAGAACGATCGGTGTCGCGGTACTGCTTTCGAATTTGTCGGCTTTTTTGTTGTTGTGAAGTACGTGGGGAAGTAGCGGAGAAGGATACTGGCAGTGCCTAAGGAGCGAAATGGAGACGAAACTCCGGGTGAAGACACGAAAGAATGACCGGTGAATCGTGAAGGCGACTGAGTCGGTTCGGACTTATAGGAAACGAGCGTAGTGGGAAGACACAAGAGCGAAGGTGAGGTGAGTATTGTTTGTATCGTGGCGCCAAGACAGGGTCTCACTAGCGTGGCTGCTCCGTTTGGGCAAGAAGGAGCAATGAGTTAGGTATGCGCCTACTGCGTTCTGGAGCTCCTCGGCAAATAGACAAGGATCGATCGCTGAACCGGGAAAGAGTGTGTGGTATGGCGAAGAGAGTGCATACACCGCTTACATATCTTAGCTGTGGAGGAAAGCGTGCAAAAGAGTGAATGTGAATATAGCAATCGATTCAACAACACAAACGGCGGAGACGACAATCAAAAGGGAGATTACCATTCTCAAAGGAGGCTCGCTCATATGACCTTGCGGACTAGTGAACGAGCTGCGTGGCATAGGTAGCTGGGTATAATCTGAGCAGGCTATCAGTCTGTGCCACATACGTACGTGTCCCGAAGGGACAAGAGCGCGCCTTTGCTGCCAGTTTGACATGCGTCCAGACATAAATTACGCCGAGAGCAAGTGCGAGATACGTGGTGTCTCCAGGGCTAAAGCGCTGATTGACTGAGAGGCACCGAGTTCCTGAGGGTATGTTGATCTGCGCATGGCATTGGTCCATGCTCAGAATGGTTGTTCCTGTCAATATGCAGTGCGACATCGAAGTTCTGGTTAGACTTGGAAGAGCCGAATGCGCCCGCATTCTGCGAGAAGACACGAGTGGCGCAGGGAACAGGCTGAACGTGCGTGGAAGCCGAGAGATAGTCAAATGGTCGGACTGTACCAAGGATGGACCAAGCCAGTTCTGACAGTAGTGCGGTCCTCCGTATGAATAGGCGCTGGCTTGCTCTGGGGTCTTGGTATAGGCCATGATGTTACCCCGATGTTACTGTCGCATAGAATGTATACAGAATACGCATATCCTCACGACGATTTGCGCAATTTGGCCGTGCAATGGGAGACTCCGAGAATCAGGGCGTCTGTGTGAACAAGCTGAAAGCCCAATGTCTGCGTGTGGGCGCATACGTAACCTGCTTTGTCTTCTCTTTCGACATGATCCAGTAATTGGCCACTATCGTGAGTGTCAGTACTCCGGGTTCATAGGACGACTCAGCAGCCATGTTGTAAGCGACGTAGCAGCGCGCTGGTCACCCGAAGCTCGTGTTCTATGCAGCCCTGTTGTCGTGTGTTACGGGTTTTGGCGCAGCAGGCCACATCGGGTATAACATGATCATGGGACTTTCTAGTAGAACGCGAGACTCATGCGATGAGACGTGATGGTGAGGTTGATGGGGGAAAGATGGAGGAAGCGACGTGACGAGATGGAAAGGCTTTGCGCTAATAATCAGGGCCCACATGTTCGTCCCGAGATGCAGGGGCTCGTAGTGCCACAGCGTGACCGACAAGTTTTGTGACTGCGACAACTGCACAAGTTACAGATGCATAGAAACAGACTAGGTAAGAATAATGCCTTTAGGTATGTACAGATACTTTAGCGATACTCCATGCAGGTAGCTCTTCTCCAACACTCCCACGCTGTAGATAACGAACTAATCAATCAGAAGAAGCTCATCTCGCGAACTGCTGCTAGACAAGTGATCTAGACTTGCTGAACATAGTTGGCTGGTACACTGCGTACTACACCGTCTTTCTCGACATCTGCCCAGCCGTCACCAGCCTCCATGTTGATGAGAACAAAGCGATCTCCTTCTGACATGGAATGCTCTGCGTCGCTTTGCGCAGTGTAGTCATACAGTGCTTCGACGTACTTCAACTTCTTCGCGCCACGCTTCGGCGCAACGGCGGGTCCCTTCTTCTTACCGGGAGCGGCAGCCGCGGCAAAGTTGGTGGTCGATGCCGACGATGCAGAGTACGTCGAGTCAGGTCTTGCTGATGAGAATGTAGAAGCAGTGGTAGGCGGTGTCGCGACCGTCATCTCGACATACGCTGCTGGGACAAGACCCTCTTTGAAGCCAGCACGGACTTTCATCCATCCAGAACCATCTGTGGTAGAGTGTTAGCAAAGTGACGAAAGAGACCTGAGATGTGAGAAGCGTCTACTACATACCATCGGGTTCTACAATGGTAACATCCGTACCATCTGCAACAGTCAATTCGCCCTCTCCATTCTCTTGATAGGCGTAAAGCATTCTACCCTTCGCTTCTGCAGACTTGGGTGTGGGCGGAGGCATGTCCTCGTCGTTCTTGACGTATTGCGTCGGTGGTGGAGCAACTAGCCTGTTTTTCCTGGCACCCGGTACAGTCGGCGCCTTTTTCTCTGGTGGTGGTGGAGTTTCCTCAGCAGTAGGCGACATACCTCCAGATATTGACCGGTGCGCAGTGGCCGAGTAGCCGGAGCTGAGGGTGTTCATAGAGTTCACCGTGTCGCTTCTCCCCAGTGGGGGTAGATTCGTACTAGAACTCGTCGCGGCGCCGTTCGTCGCGATCACTGCGTGCGCGGCCTTCTGTCTTTCTTCTTTCAACTTCTTCTTCTCTACCTTGGACTGCTCGCCGGGACAATCGGCTGGAACCTTCATCTCGCACTTGCTATGGCACGTATAGCCACAGTCTTGACAATCGTACCCCTTCGCTGACAGACCCCATATCCGATCTCCACATAGATCACAGTTCGTCGGTATTTTGAATGTCTGCGACTTGAAGTTGTGGTTTCTTGCGCCAATGCTCAAGTCACCGACAACTGAAGTGATGGTCGAAACCTCCACCTCGGCGCTGACTTTCTGTCTCTCCACCTCATGCATTTGTTCCTGTATAGCGAAGACAGCGCGAACGATGTCCACTTCATCTCTCTTGTCTTTTCCGTCCCTTATGTTCTGGCGCACGGTTTTGGCGTTCTCAACTTCTTTACGTTTCTTCTCGAGCTCGCGCCGGTACTCCCCCAATGACGTCTTCGACTTCGTGAGAACGTTGCGCAGAAATACCGTCGCGGAATCGTCGACCGCGATACTACTGTCGTCTAGCCAAACCGGGCTGGGCTCGAATTGGAAGTCGCCAGGCTCCTGGAATGAGCCAGCGTTGTGCCGTACGAACATCATCGAGTCGAGAAGAGGGTTGTTTCGCGGGATCTCGGCAGAGAGATGCTTCAGATACTCGGTACTTCGCGTAAGTGTTTGGGTTTCGATTTGAGCGGCGAGTGACCATATCGTATTCAGCTTGTTAACCCGTGTTTCCGAAAGATCCTGGAGGCTCTGTGACTGTTAGCCATACGTCACTGATGTTGCGGCTTGACTTACGTCTAGTAGCTCAGGGACGTATTCATGGTAGTACATCTCCTTTTGCTTGTTGGTTACGTTGATACTGATGAGATAGGTGTTCTGCGGTGGTCAGTTTATGAGATGTGAGATTCGGCATGCTACGTACCTTGACGTTGCGCATCTCGACCTGCTGCTGTTCGAAAGCATTCCGCGCCTTGGCTTTTCCGTGGTCAAATGCGCCGTCCGCCTTCTTGCGCCGGCTCTCGACCTCCTGGCAGACGCTGTCATATTTGCCCTTTTGCTTGCGCAACTCGCCATACTGGTTGTCGCGCTCTTTCTCTAGCTTAGCAGCATAGTCTCCGTGCAACTTGCGCAGCTCCTCGGTGCGGGTACCAAGGACCTTGAGGGGGTCAGCGAGCTGGGTGATGAGAGCGCCAGCGAATTGTTCGTGTTCGGAGGCGCGGGATTCGAGGGTGCTTAATTGAACACCCCATGTGGTCATAGAAGCGCTGTGTGGATGTGTCAGTAACGCCCAAACCTCATGCGACGGCCGTCATACCTCTCGAGCGAGCCTGGAGTAACGGTAGGCGTGTCACCAACACTGAGGCTGCTCTGCTTCTTTGCCTTCTTCTCATAGTACTTCTTCGCAAGCGCGCTGAGTTTTGCCGAGTATTCCTTCTCGATAGCGCTTCGTTCTCGGTAGAACTGTTGGATGTCATCCAGCCAGGAGATGCCGCCGGAGACCTGCAGTCGCGTGTCAGTAACTCGAAGCGCAAGGCCCGTAGCTGGCAGCGCATGTGTCTTTCCCCCTCCGGAAGTGTATGAGAGTGTGTATGACGTACCCAAGCGTTGACGGTCTTGAAGCCATCCTGTGATCACCCGTCAGCGCATGCTCGGAGGTGCTGCTCCAACTCCGCATACCTTCAGTTCGGCGCCAAACTGGGGCGCAATGTCGACCTCCATGATTGCTGAGATGTGTATGGGTCGTGCACGTGGAGAGAGGGGACTCGGGCCCCAGACATAGAGGGTGAAGGAGTGCTGGGGCGAGGGCGGGAAGGGATACGCGGAGTACACCAGGCGTCTTGGTTACCGGCAGCCCAATTAGTGGGGCAGGAGGAATGGCAACGAGGCGGTGCGTGCCGAGGAGGGAAACCCGGGATCTGAGCCGGTGACGCTGGATCTTGGTAATCTTCTGCTCGTATTGTATTATGTGGTGTTGTGAATAGTAACACCCGCCGACTACAATGGCATGCAGGAACAGGGCTATTCAGCGCTTTCACTCGGTCGCGCCTGCACACATGCTCGGGGCCTGTTCATGCGGCCTGCGCGCTAAAGCTGCCTAGCGTCTCAGCCCCGCCAAAGTCGACAACTGGAGCTCTCACAATTTCCAACGCGTCTCTTGTACCTGCAACAACACAGCTACCTCACACTTTGCGCCAAACCACCTTGAGCGAGCAACGACGTTGTAT